TCATATCTCCACCATTGCAAGTACTTTGAAACTGCAGACAGTTAAGGAGCTTTTAATGATAATGATCCAATTATTTTTAAGACTTGCTTGTAAATACATCATGTCGATATTTTAAGGGTTTAAAATAATTATTTCAGTTTTACAACTTGGTAGAAGCTATTGTAAGAAATATACACACCATATGAAATTCTGTTGGCCAGGCACCCTTAAATCATACCCTATTCCTGCTACATGACAAAACATAAATCAAAATTAGAAGCCTGTGAGTATTTGCTGTTTTCTTGGAATGGCATTATTATGTTCAAACCCCACATGGAGGTCGTGGTTGAGGTGTTTTCAACAGCAGTGAATAGTTTGAGTCTTTCAGAGGTGAGGATCCACAAACTAATGTTTTCCTATATAGTATAGGAAAGCTGTCACACTTGCACGATTCTTTGTTTTCCTTAACTTTATTATTAGAGTATTTAAATACTTCCTTAAAAGTGGAGGAGAGCATTAAAATGGGTATAATGTAATTAGTGGATGATGAACTCAGACTCTTCTAGTTATCTTTTGGGGATGACAGTGATTCTGGACAGGTGATATTACAGATATCACCTCCAAATAATTTCCCATAATTACATGCCTAATAGTAAAAATACTCTGAAGTAGTTTATCCCTGTTTTTGAGCTTTGTGGAGAATCGAGCTGTATGCATTGTGGGGATCAGACCCCAGTGCTGCCCTTGGCTCCCTGGAGCAACAGCCCAAGTTCTGAGCCTTGATCAGACCTTTAAGTTATTCTCTTGATCCAGCTCCTCAGAACAGTTGCAGTTTCTCCTTTAGGCAAAGGGTCGAGAGAAGTGGCTAAAGAGTTAAAGAGTTCAACTGAATTTTCCTCCTGTTTCTTGCACAGTTGTTTTTTGTTCCAGCGCAGCACTGTCAAAACAGAGGCACCTATCAGAATGCGGATGAGAGAGGAGTGTGCTTGCTGTGTGGAAAAAAAAATCTAGTTCTTGTGCACTAATTTATTTTATTTGGTAAGGGAGGCTGAGCTCTGTTTTCACATTTTTTGGATAGCATAGTCTTGGTTTTAAAAAAGAAACAATGATTCACAATTAAGCCTGTAGTTTCACATTTCATCTTGCAGAACAAAGACTTTGTCAGTCATTTAGTGCTTTCCTTTGCTCCGAGTTTTCATGCAAGATGAACCAAAGCTGTTTGCTCCCAGGATCAAGTGTTCATCTTGCACTGTGGGCAGGTGAACACTGGCAGAGCTGAGCTCTCTTCAGGAACAGCTTTAAATGAATCATGATGAGCCAGTGGCCTCAACACACTTCCCACAGAGTCTGGTGTTCCTCTTCTGGAGCTGGTTAGCAGACAGCTAGAGTATGTGTTTATCCCTGCAACTTGTGTGCTGCTTTAGTGTTTGAAAAAAAAAATTCAGTTGTTTCTAAAGCAGCATGGTACGGGAAGTCCACATCTTACAAAAGAAGAAAATATTGTCACTGACAGGCTTGTGTTTGCTGCTATATTTTAATATCTTAACAAATACATGCAGGTTTTTTTCTCTGATTTATAATACTAAGTAGAATACTGTCTTTCCTTTTACACTTTATGCAGTGCATACAGATGGTGTAGTATATAATAATTGTGTGTAGAATACATTCTACAATAATGTACTATATAATACACACAACATAAAGTTAGTTGTGTGTGTATACACAGGTGTATGTGTGCACAGACATATTTTTTATTTTGAAAACCCTACTCCTGCAGGGGTAGTGGGTTTAGGTGTAATTACAGCATCTCATTGACCAGGAGAGAGTGTAAGCTGTGTATAAAATCATCTGCTTACAATAAGGTAATGGCAGGATCACAGCTTAGTCCCATTAGTAAATGTCCCTTGGTACATATTCTGTAATTGCTTTAATTGGTATCTCTCCTAGCTCCCCTGAACAGAAAATGCCACTGAAAGGCTGCCATAATACATAGAAAATACAATTCAGCCCATGCTTCTAATAGAGCAGGTGTCACCCCCAATCTGTTTTAGTCATTGAGCTGCACTGAGAAATTTCACCTTATTACAGCCTGGGGTGATAAATTTTGGGATTTTCTTTTGAATTGCACCTGTTTTGTAGATCCTGATTTGGCCCTGATGATGACCTCTCACTGGTAGCCTAGGAGTAATAAACACATTCTTATTGATGACCTACAACTATATTTATGTATATGTATAGAGAGAGCATATATATATATATGCTTGATAGAGACAAGCTTGCTTAAATTAATTATAAGAAAAAGGAAAAAAGTTTAATATAAGTATCTGTTGATAACATTGAAATACCACAGGGGAACTAAATTATTACATTGACTGATTTGGTGAGAAAGAATGGAAATGAATTTCAAAAGCCCTGGGCTCCATCCATATACTTTGCTGGTCCTGTCAGGAGGTTTTTGCCTTGCAGGAGTTGTCTCCAGGTGCTACTTTGTTCTCCTATCTGCTGGTCCAGGAGATAGTGAATCAGGTTTTCTTTTGGCAGGGGAGTTTGCAGCAGTGTTAATTGGTAACAGTCATTGTGCTCTTAGGGATGTGGAGGTGGCACGTGAATTGCTGGTTTCTTCAAGAGAACAGTGGAAGTGCAGTTCATGAATAGGAACTTCTCACAAATACAGAAAGGAGTATATTCCCCAATAAATATTTGTCTACAGCTGTGTAGATTTCCCAGTTTCCTTCGCCTGTAAGTGCACTAATTATCACACCAAAAAGGCATCTTGATCTGTTAGTGCTGTGAAGATTTTGAGCCCTTTTATTAACAACATGATTAATTTATGGTTAATTTGTGTTGCATGTTCCAAATTACAGGTGTTCTGGACATGTTAGATCACCAAAGAGCCCAAGCACTGTGTGTGCTAATATGGGGACTGAACTGGGTTTGCTAGGTGTAGGCTGAATCACAAGCAATGTGTGGTATAGAGGGGTTTTGAGAAAGATTTTTTGTCTTTGATTAGTTTTGATGGAAGAACTCATCAAAATGTGGAGAAATTTGTTTTGCAGCTCCTTTGTGTTGTTAGATGAGTTGAGCTAACTTTCCTTCACCTACAGGTTCATGAGCCTTCAAATGTTGATGAGATGATAGTTTTTGACCTCTGTTACTGTAAGCAGCAGCTGTTTGCTTCTGTTGTGGTTTAACCCCAGCTGGTAGTAAGTGCCATGCAGCTGCTCACTGACTTCCTTCCCCTTCCCTCCCTGCCCCCAGTGGGATGGGAAGGAGAATCAGAAAAAAAAGTAAAAAGATTACAAGAGTTTAATAACTGAAATAAAGTAAAATAATAAGAAGAAGTAATAATAGCAATGAAAATCAATACCTCAGGTCTTTTGAGATATTAAATATAGGGCCAACATGCATCTGTGCTCAGGGATTGTTCAGTACAACATGTCCCACAGCAGTCTTCGACAAGTTCTTTGACAGCCAAAAATCTGTGGTATATCTGTATAAATTCCCAAAGTGATATCAGCATTCTTATTCGATAGTATCTCACCTTAATTCAAACTATTGTCAGAAGCTGAAATTGCACTTTGAATATAGATCTGTGCAACGTACTTAAGAATCTTCCATGAACTTATGTCCTGTGACAAGCTGAAACTTGAGTCTTCTATAGTATGACTACGTAGTGTCCCACATGTTTGGAAAACTTTGTAGAGAATGTAGCTGTGCAATAATGTGTGACACACGTCAAGCAGCTTTTTTTCTTTTTTACTTTATGGCACAAAATCTTTCTTTTTTAGCAAGTCCCTAGCTACCAGTAGAAGAGCATGAGGCTGAAGGACACTGGCTCTCAGTACAATTTTTTTCTATTGCAAGAAACTTCATTTTGTCTGTTGTTGTTGTGAGAGCATGATCAGCACAGAGCAGCAATTCGAGGAGTTACAAGCTGGCACATTGTGGAGACCAAAGATTGCCAGCTGGGCCTCAGGAGCAGAGTGATCCCTGGTTGTGTTTTCCTCAAAGTGCTTGGACAAGTTCCATGTTGTGAGCAAGATGGACAAAATTCATACATCCAAGAGCAGTCCTTGAGGCACTTTTTAAGTCAGTCCTTGAGGCACTTTTTAAGTGGGCTCTCCAGCTGTGTTTAATTACACCTCTAGCTGGGTAAAATTTCCCACAAGTTTAAAATCCCTGTACCTGAATCTATGCAACTTAAGTTATGTGACACTGTTTCAGACTTCCTACTATTTGTCTTTTAATCCTTAAAATAATTTTTCTCTTTTAATATTTCAAACAAACATATTTTCAAAAGCCTTTTTGCTTTTTTTTAATAGTCAGTTTCTAAAATGATTTGGCATCTGTGGCTGTTTGCATCAGCTATCAAGGGAGCAGGAGCTGAGAGACAAATGCTAGTCCAGCATGTCCAGGGATGAGTTCTGAATAATGACTGCTTTTCCACTAAAATCTTGTCTGTCTTTGTAAAATTAATGTAATTTCTGTGAGCAGTGTAAATCTCTGATGGGGGAAGGGGAGTAATTTGTGGGCAAGTTTCTTAAAAAATCAAATGGTACATGTTCAGGGAATCTGCAGAAAATTATTCTAATAATAAAACCAGGGCCTTGGAGGTTTGCTATTTTGAAACATGTACTAGTGAGACAAAAATCTCAGATGAGAATTGTCAGCTGTCGATGCTAGAAGAATTATCTGAAAATCCTGTCTGCAACTGCTGAGGACAGAGCTGAGGTCAGTCAGCCTGCAAGCCATGCTTGTTTCTGTGGGTGTTCCAAGTTGTCCAAATGCTTCCCCAACACTAGGATGGTTTGGAAGGCTCGGTGCTTGTCCTGCACTGTTCTTCTGGGCTGTGCAGAAAAATGATAGGGTGCAGAAGCTGGTCTATTGTGCAGTCTTTGTGTCATCAACCACCCCTTTGGCCTGGAGGAGCTCTCTGGCGCCCCTGCCTGTTTCCCTGCTTTAGTTCAGCTTCCTCTGGCTGTTTGCCTACCAGGAGTCCCACTCTGGCTTTTCCCTTTCAGGAGTGCTGGTCACTGGGAAGGATTGGAGGACATTTGTGGTACACACGGATCTCTGAAGAGCTTGCAAGCTGGGTCTGGTGCAGACTCATGTTTGAGTCAGTTTCAGATGTTCCAGAAATGCTTAATCACAGACTTGGCCACCATGTGTCTTACCTTGATCCATTTCAAAGGCTCATCCAATTGTTCTCCCCAAGAGAACAATTGTTTCTCCCCAAGAAAATGTTTTTTCTAATACAAAAAAGTCTCTCTGCATGAGACATTTCCTGCTGTGCCAGGCTGTGTGTCTGTGCCACACTCCCTGCACCAGTTAGGCATGGCTGCACCTAGTAGGTTTATCTCCCTCAGGCTGGACACAGCTTTGCTTCATTTCCATTTGCAAAGGTGTTGGCTATATGCTGAAACATTAGTCTTGCCTTCAACAGAAAATGCTTAAATTCTTGCCCCTCATTGATGACCATCTAGTTAACTACTTGACAGCAAAGTACCGCTGGTCTGCACTGTCAGCAAGGCCCTGCCAGTACAAGTCATTCAAGCTCATACTTCCAAGCCCATGGAGCTCACCTTGTGTATAACAGCCATGGATCTGGCTCATTTTTCACATGCTGTGAACACCACTAAACATATTCATAGAAACCTTTGCTTTGCCACAGAGTTTCCTCATGACCTTGAAAAAAAGAATTTAGAACTTTCTTATGTTTAAAATTATGAGAATTAAAATCTCTCTTGCCTCATCTGTTTTATTTTTTTCTTGCTTGAATGTGAATTACAGCAGAATAAGTTTTATTATACAGTAGTGCATTGTATCATGATTAAGGTCTCTGCTGGAGCATTAAATATTACTATTCTACATAATTTTCATTTAAGCAATTTTTCTTGCTCTTCAGTTGCCTTCCATGCTGCTCCTCTGTTTATGTGTGTGTGCACAGGTGCTTCATTTCGTATTACACAGACAGATAATACTAAATTTCATAGTAATTTGGGTGTGTGTGTCTGTGTGTGTGCGCCACCCGATCACAGAATCAACCACAGAAGTTGTGTGTATTATCTAAGACTAATCTATTTATTGAACAGGTGTTGGGAGGGAGGAGAGCAGTCTTTCTGCAAAGAGGCACTTTTAATTGTGACTCCCAATATATTCTTACTTTACAAAGCCTTGGTAGAATTTTATTGGCTTGACATATTCTTTGCAAATGAAAGTTTCAAATGTATATGGAAATTACCATAACAAGCAGCAGTGTGTGTTCCTATTTGAAACAGATCAGGTTTCGAATTATCTTAGCCATATATAACATTTTAGTGAAGTACAGAAATTTTCATGGCATGAGTTCGGGAAGCCAGTTTGTTCTGTTCTCCCCTTCTTCCTGAGCTCTTTAAAAAAAACCACCTTCCCTCCATTTGTGCTGGGTCAGACATTTGGCTGAATGTGTAGACTCGCTCTAATTCTGGCATCTCCTTTGATCTTCAGAATGCCCAGCACTGCCCATGCTGCACCAGGGGTCTGCAGGAGGACAGGCTGCTTTAGCCACGTGGTCCTGGGGCTCTGACTGATCATATAATTTGATTCTTCTGTGCATTAAATCTATATCAAAATAACCTTGAAGTACCTCTATTAGAAGATGACAGGTGTCTGTCCTCTCCTTGAAAGTTCACAGGCTGCTAATAATGCTCTGAAAGGTGCTTTGCAGTCTGCTTGGCCTGTGATTTCTGCAAGTACCATTATTCTAAAAGCATGAATTAGGGACCATCCAAATAAGTATGTCTAAAATATACTAAAAGCATAGGTTATAAGTGCCCAAGTGCCCATAATTATTCACTGTGTCTCCTCGCTTTCATTCTTTTTGGGAAAGGAAATTTGAGTCCTTCTCAATTCACTGAACTACTTTGAAGTCAATCGTTTGTATGAGTGTGTGCACAGGTGCACAAAGCAGTTCCAGCAGTGTGACATCAGAGTTTTGGGTTGGAGTTGCATGTGCAACGTTTTTATTCTTAAAACCTTTAGGGAATCTTTAGGTTTTGGATGGTTTAGAAAAGTCTGTCAAAATGCAGAGGAAAAAAAAAAGAGCAAAAATGCAGATGGTCAGCAGCATTCCATGCCTAAATTAGCAGCTCAATCCATGTAATAACTATAGGGCAAAAAGTCATGCAGCAAGGGACTCCCCACAACTGTGAAGTGACACAGCATATTGGATGGAGAAAAAGAAACAATTTAAATTTTATTGAGGTATTCCATTTGCTACATATCGGGTAAATCTTTAAAAAACTATGTTACTTATTGAAAAGAGATGAGATGAAGAAGCTCTGAATTACCCCACTCCTATCAATTTCAGTCATTGGCTAGACTGTATTAGAAACATGGAAGTTTTCAAAAACCTGATTCTGTCATTTAAAAAAAAAAGAAAAAAAAGAGGCAATTATTTTTCTAGATTTCTACTGGGATCTTAATATGGCTCTTTGATTTCTGCTGGGAGAAAAACCTGCCCCTCTGAGAGATGCAAACTTACAGCAGCTGTTCAAAATCACCAAAGTGGTTGCAGTATTTTTGATCAGCCTTGTCTATACCTCAGAATGTTAGGGACAGCCAAGATGTCAGGAGCAGCGTTTTTATCCATGTTCTGTTGGAGTTCAGGAGATACATAGGTGAATTCATTCAACATGCACTACTGTAATAAAAGCTGTAGTATTCATGAGGAGAAAGTAAATCCCTCACCAGAGTGTGTAATTCCTGAAGTGAATGTGCAGCTGGGAATACTTGGGGTGCCTGTCAGGGAGAATGTGATGCTGTGCACCTTTCTGGTCAGGTCTGCTCTCTGTGCTTGAACAGGCAGCGTGAAGTGGTGCTGCTGCACAGCAGATGGGGTCCTGCAGCTGTCTCAGAAATCAGGAGGAGTTAAGGGCAAGAAGGGAAACAAAGTACATCTGACTGGAGCAGGAGGACATAGAAAGACTAGAGGTGAGGATAAATGGAATGAAAACTTGGAGATCTTTGTTTACCCTAATTTTATTTTATCAACTTTAAAATTTATTAAAAGGTAAGAAAATTGCTTACAGATTGTACTTGCGTGTACATGGCAGGTGAGGGACTTAGGTAGTAAGAAAAGCAGTGTGCTGAGGGTGATGCTGGGGGCTGCAGCACATAAAGACTTGAGAGTGGGTACATTTGAGAAAACTTGTTTAGATGTGATGTGCTCATGCCATGATAGCTGGAGGAAGAGAAAGTGCTTTTAAGTTTCATTTATATTGCATGACCTCTTTTGAAATCTTTTTAGTGCCTTGGGCCTGGTTTCCTTAATGTGCAGACTTGCACATTCCTGCATGGGAACCTTGCAGATTCTTTCATTTCCTTACTTTCCTATTTTTCCACTTTTTTTTTATCATTCCCTATTACTCTCTACTGCAGTATGGCCAAGGTGCTCTCTTCTCCTAAGTCTTATGCTTAAATGCCCTGTACAGTCTTCCTACAGTCCTTTCACACAGCTCACATACGGAATCTGAACACAGGGCAGGACTGTACCTTAAGGGGGAAAAATAAATATGGTGAGGGTTGAAGCTTTTCTTAAAATTTTTGTCTAAACACTAAGCAAATGAATAAGAAGCAAAGCCATAGGTGTTCTGTCTGTGATGGGAGTCAGATGTGGTCAGATATGGCCACACAGGCTGGCCCCCTCCTTTAGACATTTTTCCTCACTTTTTAACAGCCTGGAAGTGGAATCTGTCTTTTAACCAGAAACCTGTGTTAGAAATGCACTTTTAAAAGCAATGTCATCTGCAGGAAGAACCCACAACAGATTAGTTACTGGGGAAAAATAAGTGACTGAGTGCAGCTTTTAAGAGTTCCACTTTGAACAGAAGTGAAAACTAATGAGGGAAAGTACCAAAAAGCAAAGTTTTTCTTCCTGCCTTCCATTATAGCTGCCATTTTATCCTATTTTAAGAGTTTTCCCCTTTCTGGTTTGCCAGCATCTGTATCCATTCATTACTTGACAACATAATTATTTTATTTTTATTATTAAGAATACATATGCCGTAATTAGCTGAAATATCAGTGCTGTATAATTGCAGGTATAGAGGTGTCTCATTTGATAAGTCTTTGTGCCCAGAGGAGAAAAATTATCTAATGTGCTGAGAAGGCTTAAAATCTGAAATCTAAATTTATCAATCCGATTATTTAACCATGATAAGGGTATTTTGACTTAGTTTTAGTATCCTTTGACAGTTCTGGTGTTTGCAGCACTAGCCAAAGATGAAGATGTATTTAACCATGGTTTTTATTGCTGGCATTCTGAAGAGATGTTTGAAGGAGATGTGTTTGTGTGATTCCCTCATGGAATATCATGTTTGCAACTGTATTACTTTGCCTTGCTGCTAGATGTTTTTACCTGGAGCAGTGTTCCTAATACAGCAGAAATCAGCTGACAATCATGCTTGAGGAAAGAGACTCCTTGATGTATTCTATTCCTTGTTGTAATGTGCCTGGAATGATACATATTCTGTATGAAAGTTTCCATTCCCAAGTGTTTTAGTCTATTTTGAAGCATTTACATGTTCTTATTCACAGTATTGTGATCAAGATTTCCCTTAAAAACTGTTGTGGAATTTTGGTTTTGGTCTTTGGTTTGGAGGTTTTTTTTGTGATTTACCTCCTGTTCTGACCAATTTTCTCTCCTGTCTTGAAAACCCATCCACAGTTTTTGTTCCACAAAGATTCCTTACAAAATTCATTTTTTATGCATGTTAATACATGGATTTCAATTGCACATGCATAAATTACATATAGACTTGGAATAAAGAAGCAGAAAATAAATTACTAATCCAGTAATGGTTGTAGACTTTACAAGAACATATCGTGCTATTAATGGTTATGGGATCAAGTGCAAAGGGAGTAATTGCAAATTAAACCCTAGAGCAAGACAGGAATGAGCATTGCCTTGCAAAAGGGAGTGAATTGGAAGATCTGCTGGTTTCTTCCACTTGGGCTGATATCCCCCCTTTGCTGGAACATCAGTTCTTCTGCAGGAAGTATCTCCTTTCCACATCTCTGAATCTCATGTTTTACAGCATTCCCGTCTGCTTTGTAATTAAGAGCTTCTCATTTTAATTTAGTTTTGTTTCCTAGGGAGGTTCTTGAAAATAACAACTTCTACTCAACACAAACTTCTCAAGTCTCCTTTACACTTAGGATGTGTATGCAGCAGGTGAGCAGTGATCATTTTTATCACCAGAGAGTAGAAGAATATCCCCAAGACAGATTGAGTAGCCATCACTGTAATCATACACCAAGTGTTTAATTGTTGGTTATAGGACATTCTGGAGTAATAACTTCATTAGAAAAGTAAAATTTCATTTTTAGTTTTAACACTTTTGTATTATTTTATTACTCTTTTTCTAGTGCACTAATCTGAGTTTCAAAAAAATCAGTTCAGAATGCCTTGGGAATCATTTACAGTTTCATAATGCTTTGTTTTTGCCTAGGAAAAAACAAACATAGCTTTCAGATAAAAATAAAAGCACCAGCTGTTTTCCTCCAGAACTTTTATTTCCATAATAATTGCCTTTGGAGGTAATTTTACAAGAAGAAGCATATAATATGTGGAAATATTTAAGAATAGGTTTACAATAATTCTATTACTCTAAATATAAAGACTGGTTTTCATGCCTCAGTAACTGCTCTAGAGGTCTTACATGTTAGGGAAAAAAAAGGGAAAAGAAAGTTCTAAGAAGCAGCCCAGCCTCCCAGTGCCAACTTGGCCATCTTGGGGGCCATTTCTGGAATCCAGTTTTATTTTTCTCAGAGTTTTCTGGGCTATTAATTTAATG